ACAGAGATGCCAACTGAAGCCAGGGTGTGCAAGATGACTTCAGGTTCTGTGTAGGCAGGTTTCCACTCTGCAGCCGACAATGCAGCCTCCTGGGACTCAGTCGCAGGAACTTGAGGGGTCTCCATGTAAGATTTGAGCGTTGAACCAAGCTTGTGGAAGAAATCAACTGCAATGTCTGTGACAGACTCGATTGCAGATGGCTGGTATTCCTCGAAACCAGTATGGTAAAAGATTTTAGCCACTGAGCGCTGTAAGGCCGCCCGGCAGACGAAGGGGGCAATGACAGGGCCATTGTCGTTCAACACATGAGGTTCCGCATCTTGTTCCACAAATGGCTCGGGGTTGTATTTTTGGAATTGATTGTGGTACATCTAGAGCAAAGTTAGTTGAGGCTAGTCTTGATTAATCGGCTAGCTTACCTGAGACTGAAGCTGCATCTGCTTGACAATGCCAATTTTTGAGCAAATCTTGCGAGTTTCTTGCATCTGTCGCATGTTGGAATTCATCTTCTGGGTCAACTTGCTATCCGGTTGGACGAAAGAGCCCTTTGGAAGAATCCTGAGGAACTCCTCTGAAGCATCAACAACATTGCCCTGTCCATCTTCCTTCCAGGCTAGTTGCTCAGGAAGATCAGGAACGCCAGACATCACGTCATAGTAAAATGGAAGCATTTGATCTTCTTCCACCTCAATCCCTTCCGCGAGGGACTCGCCTGCAGCCTCGGGTTCCAGTTGCGAACCTGTGTCGCGAGACTTGTCGGCTTCGATAGTGGCCTGCTTTTGGTGTCGAAGCCATCGACGCATGCCGGCCTTGGTTCGAAGCAGGGCCGGTTCCTCAATATTGAGCTTGTCACCCCTGAGGAGACGGTGTCGCTCTGCAGCAATGCGTGCCCGATCCTTCTTGGTGACCTGTTTCCACACTTTGTACTCTGGGTCTTCCAGTTCCACGCCGGGAACAGAAAGAGCACTGAGGGCAGTAGTGGATGTAATTGGACCATCGAGTTCCATAGCATCATCCTGGCTCGCCGCCACTGCTCCTGGACCAGCAGGGTCAGACGGAGTGTTAGATCCAGGAGGCGGTGTACCAAATCCATTCTGACTTGCTTCACCGGCAGCATCCGAGTCGGCACGCACTGGCGCAGGTGGCTGAGTACTGGGTGCCCCAGGTGGGCCCTCGGAGCCGCTGGGGGTATTGCGAGAAGGTGCGGTGCCAGTGCCTTTCTTGGAAGTCTTTTTACCAGGGGCCTTTCTGCCACGCGAGGACATGATGGGTTCATCATCACTCTCCTCAGCACCATCGAGGTCTGCAAGTTGAAGTCGGCGTTCCTCGGCCTCCACTTCAGCACGATCTCTGATGACGATGTCCGGAATGAGAGGAACAAGCTTCTCAGTTTCTTTCCGCATGTAGAGCGCATGTTTCCGCAAAGGGTGTTCGGCGTTGGTGTTGTATTTCAAACAGTTGGCCCAGATGAGGGTGAGATCATCCACAAAGTCTTGCTTGGATTTATACTGCAAACCCTTTAGTTTCTTCGTCATTGATCCGAGATCCATCGGGTGCTTGATTACTATTCAGAAGTTAGTGGATAAAACAAAACCGGAGGGTGAGGAACCATACTTAAGTGATAGTCCGGCGCATCACGTTTGTTAACACGAGTCAAAAACGCAGTCGAATGCTCAGTCATAGCCTTGAGCTCGCTGAGAACCTTCTCCGCGGCTTCATAGAGTTCCTCTTGGCCAACCTTGTCTTCGTTTGCCCACTTGCTGCGGTTTTTGCGCACTTCACTCAGCAAACTTCGTAGCTCAGCATCGGAGGCCTGAACCTTGTCACGTTTCTTGTCGATTCGAGCGATAAGGTTCTTCAGGGTCAGACTGGAAGCGCCTAGGTTGGTATTGCTCAAGGAGCTATAGCCATTGGAACCAGCCGAGGTATTAGTCCCTCCCATGTTGGCCTGGCCAGATATCTCTGCCTCGACCTGACGCTCGGACTCTTCCAGGCGTTGTTGATCAAGCATGGCATCACGGTCATTCTCCAGGGTGTAGAAAAGCGTGTGGAAACTCCGCCGGGCAGCCTCCTCCGTCGCCTTCTTGTCATCCTCAAGCTGCTTCCGAATCTCCTCCATTGTCTCTTTCTTAGACTCCTTTGCACCATCTGCGCTTGTGGATGCCGAAGTGCTGGGGCGGTGGGACGGCGGCGTGGGGTCTTGAGAAGAGGCAGCGGGCTTGGGTTTCGAAGGGGATTCGGAGGCGTCATCCATTTCCTCGTCTTCGTCGTCGTCGTAATCATCGTAATCATCATCGTCGAGCTTTCGAGCGGACTTGCGCGGTGGTGCGGAAGGGGGTGGCGCATCCTCGACGCGTTCGGGTTGAGCCTCGGGGGGCTCAGTAGCTTCCCCAGCCGTTGCGCCGGCAAGGTCATCAGCAACGTCTTGTCCAGAGAAGAGCGCACTTATTTTCGCCTCACTGCGGCGATACAAATCACGGAATTGGGCAATGCGCGGATCTTCTTCCGGCACGGTATCGGCTTCGGAGGTCAAGCTGCCGGGGACCGGCCCTTCGGCGCTGACAGAACCGCGTATTTGGGGAGTTCGGGAACCAGATAATGTCTTCACTAAGCCATTGACGGGGCGCGGAGAGTCCTGGAGGTCATCTGGAGGCCGGATATTGCCTGGGGGCCAGGCGTTGTGGCCGAGCGACATGCTCGCTCCAAAACCCCGGTTTGGGGGCGGGCGAGACTCGATTCTCCACGATTAGAATTATGGGCCGATCGGACGCGACGAAGCGGTCTGGAGAAGGTCAAAAGGCATAGAGATAGAGGTCACCTTCCGTAGAAACCCCCTGCGATGTCAAAACAGCAAAAAAAGATGCCGTGGGGGAGTGGTTTGATGAAGACGATCGGAGGGAGCTACATAGGAAGTTTCGCTGGACGGGGATGAAGTACGGGCGCGAAGGCGGAGTCGTGTGGCAGATCGTCCGATCTCAATGAAGGTCGATCGCGATTGTTCGCAATTAATTGTCTCAGATCTATTGTCGCATTAGTGCTCTATTGACTCTCTATTGTGATTGCTCTAACGGCATTGAAGCTATTGCTGAGATCTATTGTCGCTGATGCCCCATTCGCTAAGCATATGACGCACCAGGCAGCCGGGGCCGAACTCAACGTCTGACAGCTTCCGCTCCGGGGACTGAACCTCACCTATTCAACTTGAGTGCCACCTTCCCGTTTCCTACCTCTGCTTTTGCGGCTCTTCCCAGAGGTCTTTTTGGAGGTCTTTTAAGACGTTAATTTTGAACGATTTTCGTCCGTCATGCGCATCCGTTACCCTTTCGCAGGTGAGCTACAGATTGCCTTTCTGCTTCCGGCGATCCCACTAACAGTTCCAGGTGCCTTTGCCTTCCTGCTCGTCGCAGCAGCTTATATCGGCCTCCTACCCCATAGCGAGTCTTCAACACTACCGACACAACTTCAACCAAATGACAAGTTCCTCCACCTCGTCACGTTCTTCCTGCTTTCCGTCACCTTTTACTGGATCTTGGATACCACCCGCAAGCGCACGCTACACGTGACCCTTTTGGTCTGCACATTGGGACTCGGTATTGGTTCCGAGGTCATCCAAGCCTTTCTTCCCAATGGCCGAGACTTCGATCTATTCGATATAGTCGCCAATGTTGTTGGCAGTCTCAGCGCCATCGGTCTCTGTGGTTGGTACCACCGACGCATGATGGAACGCCGTCGGCAAAGTCGCTATGGCCTGATGGAAGATGGCGCTGAGGATGTCGAGCTCGGAGGCGTAGCCAGCAGTTCTCGCCGCGAGTCGGAAACAATGGGCCCACAAGAGTCCGGTGTCATGAGTCTCGAGCAGGAGGTCGACAACTGGGACGAGAATGCAGTAGACAACTGGGATGCTGAGGAAGGTCCAGAACATGACCGAGAGACTGCTCCGCCCGTCTATCAAGAATCCAGCTCTGCCGGTGCCCAGCCGGCTGCGGTTCCCATCGGGGCAAAGCGCAACGATTAAAGCTATTCCTCAACTACAGACTTGTGAAAAAAAAGGCTATGCAGCCACACGATATTAAGACCCAAAGCCTCTTTGCTGTTACGCTTCCGCGCCCATGATTATGGATTCCCTCCACTGGTCTCATGTCGGTCGGTATGATACCAAATTTTCGGTTATACCTACCAGCGTTGCGCTTCTGATTTATTGATTTGGTTTGTTTATATTGTTCTATTATACGGAAAGAGGGTAATTCTATCCAGGTGAATGTTTGTTTCCCTTGATAAAATGGGGAGTTTCTGCAAGGATGCTCTCGATATTTTCGGTGGATTGTACAGTGGCATGATTTGATGATTGAATTGAATGTCAAGAGTTAGCAACTTTATATAGATGCTAATAACGAATTTTGAAAAATGGTGATAGAAACGTAAGTTGAGTCCGCAGATGAAGATATAGTTTCCGGTTATCCTACTGAGGTGTCTCGCTCCATTTGTGTCTCGAGTGAATTTCCACACGTTGTCTGACAGTATATATATGTTTCGATTGACATGGGTAAAGTGCTCGACACATGATACAACATAGCATACGCTTGATCGTGACTTCTCAACTATATATATTGCAAGTTAATCATCGACCATTTAAACCAGGCTTTGTGCCATGTAGCAGCGCAATTTAAATCACCAATTGACTAATATACAGGAACTCTAGCGAGATAATAGCTAATGCTAGTCAACAATCATAATAACTACATACCCCTAGAAGAGCAGGGTGAAAGACAAACAATGGGTATTTCAACGGGGAAGAAAGATGCAGTGGGTGTATAGCAGAACGCAAAACTATGAACAAAGAACAGCAGAAACCAAATGAACACCGGCCATGATTTAATGCAGAATGGGAAGATATTCAACCAAGAGACCAAGGCTCGCGATCAACGAGGCAAAATAACGTGGCGGATGAGGTGGGGGAAAAATAATGCGTATAAAGCAAGTTGCTCAAGGCGGAGCGGGCGTTATTCGTTATCAGACACTTCCGGCGTACCGGACCAGCTTCTGGTTGGCGTAGGAACGCGGCTTGGGGCAACCTCCAGCTCTGGTTTGGCAGTCGGCACGTAGCTGGCCTCGTCACTGAGTTTGGCGACTTTGGCAGACCTTTCTTCGCCGCCGCCGGGGGCATCAGAGTCATGATCTGGAACCTTGCCCAGCTTGGAGTCGGTTTGTTCGCGGAGGACCTCGTAGATGAATTGCATCTGCATTTCATTATAGACCATCATCATCCGTTGCTCGCGCATCTGATTAACGGTTTCGAAAACAGGATCAATTTCGGGATCCGTGACATTGAGTAGATGACCCGACTCTAGCTCACAAAGCAAATGGTCCAGTGCGATAAAGGTTCCGGTCCTACCAACTCCGGCACTGCAATGCACAATACGCGGGTTTTCAAGGCTGGACTTCGAGGCAGACAACTTGATGAGCTCAAGCAGGGCCTGGCGATCACTACCCTCGGGCTTTGAGTAATCGGCCCAGCCAGCGAAGAGGAAATGCCAAACAATCTTTGACTTTGAACCGATGGACAGCTCGAGTTTGCGGATTTCAGATCGGGACCTAGCATCGAAAGTCGACTCTAACAGTGTGACTTTGCCCAAAATGCCGGGCTCTGTTTGCTCATCCACATTGAAGAAAAGGTCCGACTTGTCAGTTGACAAAACCATCGAAGCCTGCTCGGTGTCCAGTGGGAAGTATTGAGCGCACTTTTCCCGGCCCGCTTCGAAAGTTTGGGTAAGCATTACAATTACACCGACCTCTTGACTCTCATGGAATACCATGTGCCAGAAATGAGCGAGGTGACCAAGCGTAGGACCCTGCTGATGGTCAGATCTTGCTAAGCATAGACGTAGCTCGCGTAACGTACCTGTGTTGCAATATATTTCCTTCTTTCCCTCGTCACGGAATCTTCCAAAAGAATCGGAGAGGCGTTGATAAAATCACACTCGCCGTCAGCCACTCGCAAGTGAATGCGACAGTTTGCCCACGCCTGCACGTTCAGATATCGGTTCCTCTCCTTAACCTTCGGATCGACCTCGAGGGCGAAAGGATGCGACATGTCATTGGCCATCATCCCCTCCGCGAGACGTGTCCGCTGCATCCATTCTAGATCCTCGAACTTTTCATGGATCTCTGCACAAGAAGCGGTCAGTCACATTCCCACATGCGGGCTTTATTTTCCGAGTATATATATGTGCACCCCTCACTCACCCGCGACAGATAGACACAAGAACGGCGGGATATCTTCCGTATTCCCAGCGTCCAACTTGGGGTCCTGGTCACCCAGTACATCGAGGCCTGCATCGTTGTTCTCAGGCAGGCCGCGCTTGGTTGTCTGCACGCTAGTGTCGATCTTGATAGACGGATGCGCCATTTTGGCAGCCGCGATCCGCTGGAGTGCTCGCACTTTACCGACAACGCCACGGGCCTTTCGCGAGACTGACTGGGCTTTGGATCGCTTCTTCGGGTGCGGGGCAGGCTCGGACAGCGACGGCGAGCGAGAAATATCGGTCTGAGGAGTGTCGAAGCTATCAAAACCAGAGACCTGCGATATCTGCAGCGTCGACAGATCGGGACAGCTATAGAAGCTGTCCCGGGAAGATGTGTCCAGGGCCAGATTTTTTGAGTGATGGGGGGAGGGGCTCGGGCGTCGAAGTGGGAGGCAACAAAAATAGCAACCTCGTATCGTTTTCAGGCCGTATACTTCCGAGCCCTTGAATATAAGTGAAGAAGAAAGAAAGAAAGTGTGAGACGGGAAAGGGGAGAAGTGGAGGGGCGTGAAAGTAGTAAAAGATCCGAGATGTCGCCAGTATAAAATTATGAAGCAGTATATAATACTCCGCAGAGTAGAAGTATGAGACAAAATTAAACAAAATATACCCGGGCTACAACTATTGACTATAAATATTGACTCTTAACTAACTATTCCGAATTCATCGTCACATTGGTAATTCGCTTTGCCACCTCTTCAACTCAGCTGCTTGCGGCGGTTCTCCCTGCATTTTGATAGATACAGTGTTTACCCCTTTACCCTCTTCTTGGCTTCCTCTCCCTCTCTGATAAATCCTCTCCGATGACGGCACCCGCTTGCGCCAACTGGTGTTGACCACCTTATTACGAAATGGTCTCCCAAGCTCAGATCGTCGATCGCACAGTGACGACCCAAAGTGCCACATCCTTGGTGTCGCGTCCCTCACACTCTGGCAGACGCCACCGTTCCGGTCGCTCCCACCATGGCGGCTCCTCGCATTCCTCCTCGAACGATTTTCCCATCTTCACGTACACTGGTGACACGGAGGTCGTGATCCGCGTCAGGTCGCAAGAACGGCGCTACCTGCTGCACCGCTTAATATTGGCGCAATGCTCGGGGTATTTTGAAGCGAGCACAAACGAAGACTGGTCGCGTCAGACTGCACTGAGTTCGTCCAAGCCAGATGGCACCCTGTCGCGGGTGAGCGAGGATGATGATCTGTCTAGCGGGTCAACACTGGCGCCATCGGACCACGGTGGAATACCGTCGCGGCCAGGCGAAAAGAGACGCTGGAGATACGAGCTTGATTGGGGGAATCGCGCCGAGGATGAAGAGGCGATTCTCGTGCAGAAGGTGAGTCGCGGCGCGTCGCATACGCTCATTCTGGTGGAAAATGCTAATATCGCTTCTCACAACAGCAACCAAGCTACGCGCCCATGTATAGCAGTGACCAAGCTGCCTATCCTCCAACGATGACCAAGCCCTCCAATGCTCAAGCAGGCTTCTTTCGATCCATGGCGAACCTCACGGGAATGCAATCAGTCGCGCATCTACCGCAGACAGGGACAGAACATGGAACCGGGGTCGATCCGTTGATACGCGACTATGACAATCTGTTACGACTATTCTACAATCACCCACCCATCCTCAACAGTGTGAATATTGCCTCCGCATATACAGAATGCAAATCCCTCCTCGCGTTAGCGGATATGTACGACGCACTCCCGGTGACGGGCCCGCGTGTAGATCACCACCTCCTCGGTTTCGGATCCCGTCTTTTCAAGCAAATCGGCAAATACCCACCCAGCTATCTAAAGCTAGGCTACCTCGCCCGCAGCAGGGTGATCTTCTCCGAAGCCCTAATCCACGTTGTTGGCCAGTGGCCCGCAGCTCTCCCAAGCTTGCGCAGCGGCTCATACGCTCCTCTACCAGACTCAGTCTTCGATCTCATCGAAGACAAAGTAGAGGACCTGGACAATCTGAAAGCGCGCGTGGAATCCAAGCTCTTGCGCCTATCCCTAACAACCTCGCGCGGCGAACGCGTCGGACCCTCAAATGCATACCTAGACTGGCTAGCCGTGTCCCTATTCCGCCAATGGCTCATCGAAAGCACGACACCACCACCAGCTCCGATTCTCAAGAATTCCTCAACACCAAACGAACCACCCTCGCAACCCGCTCCATCAGCTTCACATCCAACAAGCTCGTCTAGATCAACCACCCCACCGGACCAATCCGCGCGCGTCTATAGATTGATCGGCTCTTCCAGCGCGCAAGCATATCTAGCCCACGACGAGCTCAAGCGTTTCCTCAAACTCCATCCAACTCCGTCCTCTGGTTCGCTATACACGCGCGAGACTCTTAAACGCTTCGAGCGCAAGATGGATGAGATGAAACGACTTGCTCGGGAAATCGTCAAGCCGCTCATGCGCAACTTTCTTGAATTGGAGCTGAAAACTCCTACTGATTCAATGGGTGGTGCTACTCCTGGTCCCCCTGAGGGTAGGTCTACCGGCTTGCCCTATTTGACGTGTACTCGCGTCGAAGATATGGACTTGCCCTGGAAGTGAGCTTGGTCTTACGATTCTATCCGTTTGCCTCAAGAATTCGGCTACCCTAATTATGATCTTGCATTATCTCTGCTGTTTTTGATCTGTTATCTCTGTTCTTAATTTTTGATATTTGGGTCTTTGTCTGCTCTCCCTCTCGGACTGCTGGTCATGTCCGATTGGAAGAGTCTAGACTGTACTCTGCCATTTCCCACGATGTGATGTGTTCTTGATTTATGTTTTTTTCTTGTCTTTTTATGTGTCCACGAAGTAATGAATGGCTCTCTGGCTGCTCTGATTATTCCCCAGGTTTTCTCGTTTGGTCTTGAATTTTGATTTCTGGTTGATCTAATATCCTACTCCATCAACCCTTGGGTGAGTTGCTAGGAGTCATTTGAGATATCCTCTTTGTTTTTGTTACTTGCTTAAGATACCAAAAAATACAATCCAATATATTTACTGAAAACCATCAGCTTTCCCTTCTCAAGAACCATTTGAGCGAAAAGATAGAGTTGTGATATATTCAAATCCATTATACGAGGATCATTTGCATAAAAGTACATACTATACATGACTCGATGGAAGAAAAAGCCCTTCTAACGTCGACCAATACTCTCCATACCATCCATCCAGGGACGCAAAACCTCAGGAACAACAACAACACCACGCTCGGCATCCCATCCATTCTCCAGGATAGCAGCAAGCACACGCGGAACCGCCATAGCAGTACCATTCACGGTATGCGGGAACCGCGACTCCTTAGCCGCCCCACCACGCACACGCGCAGCCAACCGGCGACTCTGGTAGTCTGTACAGATAGAAGCGGAGGTAACCTCGCCCCAGGCAGATTCCAGATCATGGACCTCCGGGTCACCGAGGGTACCACTAGACACCGCAAGGCGAAGACGAGAGGGGAACAGAGCTTCAATGTCACGCTTGCGGGTTGCGCTGGCGCCTAGATCGCCGGTGGGCATTTCGAGGACTCGACAGGGGAGATGTAGTGAGGTTAGGATCTCTGTTTGCATATCTAGTAGCTCGTTGAAGAGGTCGTCGGATGTAGGGACTGTCGTGGCTGCCTCTGCAGGGCTGAGACTATCCGTCCAGCCGAACAGTTCGACCTTTGTGAACTCGTGGACGCGGTAGAGACCCTTTGTGTCGACGCCGCGGGAGCCTGCCTCGGCGCGGTAGCAGCGACTAGCACCAACTAGCTTGATGGGTAGTTCGGCGGCGTTGATGTCCCGGCCGGCGTACATGGCAGCGAGGGGAATCTCGGCTGTTCCGGTGAGCGAGCGCTGGGGTTTACTATTGCGATCGCGCTCGTTTTGCTCGATAGACCAGATCTGTTGCTCGTTGTGTTGGTCGCGCGGCTGGAACCCGCATGCCTCGGCGATGTAGGAATAGACGATTGATGGCGGCGCGACAGTCTTCCAGCCCCGGCGTCTGGCGACTTGCAGGGCATATTGGACCAGTGCTTGTTCCAACATGGCACCCTCGTTGATGAGGAAGTACCAGCCCCATCCTGTTGTTGTGGCGGAGCTCGCGAAGTCTAGGAGATTCAGCTCTGTTCCGATTGTGACGTGTGACCGTGCCTGGAGCTCCGCTGGTGACTGTTTTGTCCATGATGGGAGCTCATGGGGGTCGAAGTTGATGTAATTTACAAGACTGGGATCATGTCCGATAGGAGTGAATGAGGAGGAGAGGTTCGGGAGGGCGAGGGCGAGTCGGTTGATCTCTTCTGTGCATGTTGCTTTGCGCTCGGTCATGGCCTGCGAGTCGTCTTTCAATCGCTGGGCCTCCGATTTGAGTTCGGCAATTTCCTCGCTAACATTCTTTTCACTTTTATTTCCATTTTGGCCGTCTGTATTTTGCCGCGCCGCAATATGTAGCTGGGCAATCGTCTTTTCTAATTGCTTGATGCGGGACCGGGGGTCTTTCAGGTCGTGGTCTAGTTGTCTGGCTTCCTCGGACAATTGTTGGATTTTCGAAGGGTAATCGGCGTGAGCTGCATAGTTGCGGTCTAGACAGTTTGATGCGTAGAGGTCCGCGTTTTGGCGGATGTGTTTGACGTCCGGCGTGGGTTTCGGAGCTGTCGCAGGTCGCAACACGTCCCGATAGCGTCGGCCGGCAGAAAAGTTGCGCAAAGGTGTTCGGGCTATTCCATGTCTAAATGTAAGCCTGCAATTGAAGCAGATGTATGAGGAAGTGAGCGCCATGGATTGAGGTTGAGAGAGAAAAGAAACGAAGCCGAGTTGCAAGGTCGAGTGGAGCTCCCGCCTAAACCCTTTTAGGGGATCGGCAGAAGTATACCGCAACTATATTCGAGCTTCTTTAGAGGAACACGTCAATTCGCGTGGATATTATCAATTTGACTATGTAAAAGGCATAAAAGTTGCAATCTCAATATCTTCAGTGTCCAATCTCTTTCAGATTAATAACCCTACTCCATAATGATGACTTTCCCGCCTCGGATGTCATAGGCCCAGCTTGTGCTTACCGATTCTCGCACTCACTCCAGAAAGAATCAAGACAGCAGACACAAGGACGCCCCATAGCGGGATATGCAGTGCCGCTTTGTTGTAGGTTGTCTGCGTCGCCGCCACGACTGTCGTCATCTCCAGCAGTAGCAAAACATAGCCGGACCAGCGATGATATTTGTAGATGCGCTTTCCGGCTTCGACGCTGCCAAAAATGATAGTAGGGAAGAGAAACTGGGCAAGTCCAACGAGGGCTTGCAGTACTATCGAAATGTACGTGATAAGGCCTAGGATGCCATGGGCGGAAACAAAGTGAGGGTGAGAACCCTTGTTGATCTCGATAATGACGAATGCTGAGACAAAAAGTACCACACTGAGTAGTTGGATTGCGTAGTGGATACGGGTGCCTGTGAGCTTCTGTTGCGGGGTGGCAGTTGGTTGCAAGATCAGCGCTGCCTGGACCTGGAGGAGAAGCGCGGAGCTGTTGAGGAGCTTCAAAGTAGTGTGTCAGTCACTGCCGACTCAGATATCTTGAGGTTTCCTTACTGGATGTGGGGTGAAGAAAGAAAGAGGTTCAGTGAGAACCCCTTGCCAGACCAAAGCTGCTAGCTGTATTTGAAATCAGTTTCTGCAGGGAGAAAGTTACAATAATAAGGCCTCACAATCCAGATGCCAGCTTGAGCAACACTTGCCGTCCCTGAAGTCAAAAGTTAATTGACGTAATAGTCAGCTAGTTCCCAACCCACCTGTGAATAAGTTCCGAACGATACTTTCGTTTGGCTTTTGTGTGACATCTCCTGGACGACCCAATAAGGGTTCCTCCTCTCGCGATTCAATCGTCACTGGATGCTCTTGAGGAATTCCTGTTGCCGAGGCCATTGAGTCGAGATTTAGAAGGGATGTATATGATGAAGTCAGAGTAAAGACGAGAGGAACAAAGAGAAAGGCGGTGACGCTATTCTTTCATCCATGGTACCATCCATCGATGTATAAAACCAAACATGGGGCAATTACTTTCTCTATTGGCGTGATCTGCGGTTACAATGACGGAATGCGCTTCTTGAAATGTGGAGCTGACTATGTCCAGTCAACTGCATTTCTTTGCCAATCATCAGTTAGAAAAAGTAAATATTGCGATGATCTGGTTGGCTGAGATACTCCTTACTCCAAATCCCTGCATTTTGATTACTGTACTCGGACAGTATGTGATCTTGGATCATCCTATGCAGATTCCGGGATGTCCGGAAGGACTCTTCATGTATTTCTGGGAATAACTTATATGACTAGCTCATTGTTTTATTTCTATCACTAGCTACTCCAACCTCTGTTTCTTTGAACACTCTGGCGATGGTGCATCACTTCGTTGGCGACGCCGTGGAGAAAATGCCTCATATTCTTCGATTTCCGGATGATCTTCGCTTTGATATCTATTAAAAGTACGGAAGTCCAACTGAATCATCATCTCCATCGAATCCGCCACTATGTTTGCGCCATCAGTATCCCATAGAAGCGTTTGTCTCAGCGCCACCACGTTCTCGAAAAGCTCATTGCACTTCTTTGTCCAGATATAGTTTAAAAGGCTAGTTTCGCGGCTACAAATAGCCTGTCCAGCCAGTCTTAGCCGAGGGATCCGAAGGAGCAACTGACCCAGTGTCCTTATAACTTCTTCCCGGCGCGTCGGATGCTGCTTGAGAATGTCAATCTGGAGGCTCAATGTGGTCACGAAAAAGTTGCGCTCCTCCTCCCACGCACCGTGGGGTGGCCGCTGGGACATCGTGGGGTATCAAACAAATTCTTTGAAAAATAGGTCAACTGCGAACAGCCACTTGGATGATCACAGAGAGCTCGATGCCTCCCAAATGTGGCGTTGTCGAGGTTAACTGTGTCTTTGCAGTGCTTGGAGCTGTTAAAAGATCAATGCCCCGAAAAGAAAGAAAAGCCGGTGGTATTTATTGTTAGAATTCTTTATTTCTTTCCGCAATCAGGGATTGTTGCGTATTTATCTACGAAACTGAGATAATAGAGAACAAACCCGTGTCACAATAACAAAGAGATTCAAGCGCAAATACCTGCGTGCTTCTTTCTGGTGATATCAACGCATTGTCTCAGGATGACCTGAAGTGTCTCATCTAGTTCCAGGGCATTCTCAACACAGGCCCTTCCTCCCCTGATCCAACCCGACCAAAGACGACCTCTGCTCCCAGATGTTTCGGATCCAAGTTCATAACAATGTTGAACAAAGAGCTACTCCTGTTGGAGATAGGACGCAACGGATCCTCTTCGCAGCAGATCGCCTGCGGCAGGTTATACGTATCAGAGAAGATCCGGTCTCGCAATAGAGCGGGAGTGATGGAATCGCCTTTGATTCCTTCCTCAATCAGCTCCTGTGTCAACTGTTGCAGTCGCTCCAACCGAATGGGAGACCCAGACAGCCATGGTGGCTCATCCACATAGCGATTCTCAATGAAGTGATTGGTATGCCCGATAATTCCCGATGCATCTTCTGCAATATACTTGTCTCCTACCGGCGATAATTCGAGCCCTAGGGCTGTTGTGCTGTCTGCACAAAGAATGTGCTGGGCAGAGGCTACACCACCCAGAGACTCGAGGGTCTCCACGGCGTTCTTGACAGAAGTGCTTTCCAAACATAACCGAAGCGCGACATGAATCGGGAGCTTGCTACTGATCATTGGTTTGGCGCGGATTGCATTGAGACAAGTTCCAACACCAGCGGAATTGAATCCGATCTTGCCAACAATTCCAGCCTGGTGTCTGTTAGTCATGTGCAGAACTATACGAAAAGCTCGTACGAATAGTACTTACCTCGGTAACCATATAGATAGTCGGCTTTCCAGGCTGCTCAATAGAAACCATAGCCAAATTCTTCTTGACAGTCGCCGTCCAATCCCAATTCTGCGAGAGTAGTCGCGCCCCATCGTTCTTCTTCCAGCACAATGTTGTACAGCCATCGGAGAACTTTCCCAGCGCGATCTCGCTTCGAGAGTTGAGTGCTATAATGTCGAGCACATCTAGCCCAGCACCCTCTGCGATTCCTTCCATCTCGGCGTATACATGCGGTGTCAGCTTCTCAAGTGTGGACTGAAACTCCTTTGCGACTTCGCGTACATCGCTCCAGGATAGCTTCGAGGTAGATTGGAACATGCGGTCGTAAATGGATATTTGATCATGGATCTGCTCTCGTAATGAACGGCCATGTTGGATCCCTATCTAGTTTTACATGTTAGTTGGAGAGTCTTAAAAATGATGTCACGAAAAATGTACTTCTCTGGGGGAGCCCTTTAGAGTGAGCTTGATCGGTTCGTTTTCAGACATGGTGAGGTTGATACGGACAGCTCTCAAATGCGCATTTAAACCAAGATCAAGTATACCGCAAACTATTTCACTATTTATTGGAGATGTTTATCAGCCGAGCCGAGCTCCCCTCAGTTGGAGTCAAGCGGGGGCTTGCCGATAAGAGTCGCAATGACCTGCCCTAACCGGCAATACCCTCAGGCGGCACCTCAGAAGGGAAGTTGTATGCTATGGATTGCCTAGAAATTCGCTTATTGAGATACTCCAACCGACTCCAACATGCGGAATTATCATGCGTTGAACTTTTATCAATGTGTCAAGATATATAGCGGAGCATATTATGTCTCCGTGATATTCCATCCAGGTGGCGTAATTGTTATTGCATCTATGCATCTTTGATCAAGTGCTTGAACAACTTATCTAAGTAATACGCAGACTGCTTCGGATACCGAGTCTTCTTTTCAGAATCGAAGTCAATCCATGTACAGCCAAAGCGATCCGCATATCCAGCGGCCCATTCTATACGAAGAATGTAAGTAAATCAGTCATCAAAGGAAGGCCGAGTAACTTACCCCAATTATCAGTGAAAGTCCAGGCAAAGTAAGACCGAATATCAACTCCATCCTCTTTCACAGCCCGCGCCAACGCATTACCAACATAACCCTCAAAGAACTTGATTCGGAACGTGTCTTCCAGAACCTCAGGCGTAGGCGCGACTTCGCCCTTGGCGGTCGTACCATTCTCAGTAACATAGATTGGCATCTGGTATCGCTTATAGATCCAGTTCAACAACTTCCTGAATCCCCAAGGCGAAGCACGCAGCCACTCAGTATCACTCTCCTCCCCACGAGGCACACCTTGCTTATTTTCATCATGAATCTCCACATTCCCTTTATGGTCATTAATATCAGGCGGCGTAGTCGTATGCTTCATGAAGAAAGTCGTATAGCTATTCATCCCATAAAATTCCGAGCTCCCAAGCACAAGTTTCGACTCTTCAGGCGTAAACCTAGGCAATCGATCACCCAGCTGCGCACGCATCGATGCGGGATAATCTCCAGTCTTATAAACCGGATCCGCAAACCAGGCAATCTCAAACTCGCGCGCTCGCTCCGCAGCCTCTTGATCGCGCGGGTCCTCTTCATCCCAAGCCTCGGACCAATTGCCATGCAATGTAATCCCAATAGTCCCCTTCTGCCGAGGCTGGAATTCTTCACGGTACAAGCGCGAGACATGGCCATGTGAAACTAACTCAGTATGTGCGACGATGAAAGGCTCAGTGGATGAATCGCCCTCGGCATTGCGCTCGCGGAAAGATGATCTACCCGGTGCGTGCACTCCCGCCGCATAGCCAGCAAGTGTATACACACCGGGCTCGTTATATGTAATCCAATGCTTGACGCGGTCGCCGAAGCGCTCAAAACAGACACGGGCATATCGGACAAAGTCCGGTGTATACGCCTCCTGGTTCAACATACCACCGTATCGATCCTCCAAAGCTTGAGGGATATCCCAGTGGAATAGGGTCAGGAAGGGTGTGATTCCATTGCGGAGGAGTTCATCAATCAGGTCAGAGTAGTACTTGATACCTTGCTCGTTGACTGGGTCATCTTTGCCGCCCAATGGGATGATACGTGACCAGGCTAGGGAGAAACGGTAGGCGTTCACGCCGTAGGATTTCATCAGGGCTACATCCTCGCGGTAGAAGTCGTAAGCACGCACAGCGTCGTCGGCGTTGCTTCCGTCGGCGACCTTGCCTGGCGTGTGGCCAAATTCATCCCAAATTGATATGCCTTTGCCGTCTTTGTTCCACGCGCCTTCTATTTGGGCTGCTGCTGTGGCGTAGCCGTGGAAGAAGTCAGGCCGGAGGACATCCTTGAGGTCTTGTACTGAATTTAGATCCATGTTGGGTTTTGTGGCTGGGATTGTGTCAACGGGTCGACAATTTATTCTGAGTTAGCTTGGGGAGCTTTGGTCAATAGAGAAGATCACCCCGCAGGAATATGCCCGGTTAAATTGCTTGGGCGATTTATCCTGGGACCGGAAAGGGGCTTTGTTCCGTGATGGTTTGGGTATAGTCTGAGAAGGATGGGGGGAAGTACAACTCATATTCAGAGGATCATGCCTTTTTTACATGCGACAAGTAAACACAATTAGCAGATATGAATATATTCTCTAAATTATCAATCTATGGAGCTTTGACTCTATGCTCCCCACGACCTGTAATCTCTACTGACCCATTCTCACCAAAATAGATGACCGTCTTCTCTCCACACTCGGACTTCACAGTAACAACACCAATAACACGCCCATTTTCCCAGCTAAACTGTAGTACAAACCCGCCCCGTGCCCGCACACCCCGAATGGATCCTGTCCAGCCCCTCGGACATGCAGGAAGAAGGCGAATTAGACCAGGTTGGGATTGGACCAGCATTTCAATAATGCCCGCCCCGCCCCCAAAATTACCATCGATCTGGAATGGAGGGTGGCTATCTAAGAGGTTGGGTAAAGTCGACCGAGCCAGAAGCAAGTCCAGATGCTTGCTACATTCCTCGGTTTCGAATAGGCGTGCATGCAAGTTGATCAACCAAGCACGACTCCAGCCAGTATGGCCACCGCCATGCTCTGCGCGTCGACGCAGTACTACTCCACATGCATCCGCAAGTTCGGGGGTTTGCGTTGGCGTGATGGCATTTCCGGGATGAAGTGCCCACAGATGTGAAGTGTGACGGTGTCCAGGCTCCACCTCGGCATAATCGCTGGCCCATTCTTGTAAATATCCTCCAGTAGAGATCTGCATTGGTGGGAGGCGTTTTCTGGCATTTTGTACCGCCAAAAGAAGAGTGTCCTCAACACTGAGTGTCTCTGTGCAGGACTCGAATGCGCTTAAAATAGCATCAATGATTTGAATATCGATTGTCGATCCCTCGCACAACACTCCCTTTCGTCCCTCGTGGTCGTAAAATGAATTCTCGGGCGAGACAGACGGGCTGGTGGTAAGGTACTCACCCTTGGAATCTTCGATCAAGAAGTCAAGGAGAAACTCGACGCAGCCACGCAAGACCGGATGCATGCGACGAAGGAAATCTTCATCGCGAGTAAACTGGTAATGCTCCCAGATGTGGTAACAAAGCCATGCACCACCCAGCGGCCAGATACTGGCCGGCATCCAGCGATCGACTGGCGCTGTATCGGCCCAGATATCAGTGTTTGAATGGGCTGCCCAGCCTCGACATCCATACATGATTCGAGCCGTGTCTTTCCCGAGTTCGGCCATGCGTTCCAGCAAGTCGAAGAGAGGCAGTTCACATTCTGAGAGATTGCACATGTTTGAAGACCAGTAGTTCATTTGGAGATTGATATTGATGGTAAACCTGGAGCCCCATGCTGGATGAAAAGAGGGATTCCAGATTCCTTGTAGATTTGCTGGTAATGGTTTGTATCCATTTCGACTGCTGGATATCAACAGGTAGCGGCTGTAGTTGTGATAGAGGGCGATGAGTCCTGGGTCTCGATATGATTGCAGACGTTGGTCGGTTGGGATTTCAGAAGAATCTGTATCAAGTCGTAGTTCCATTCTATTGTACAGTGATTGATAGTCTGCAATATGTCGGCTCACCAGATCAGCCGAAGAACAGTCCATGGCATCCTTGATATTCTGCTGGGTCTGCTGATCTACTTCTTTATGGCGAAACGTCGTTTGTGCCGCGATCAGGAGCAGGGTATCGCAGGAATTCACTATAAGATTGTTTCCGATCCTCGTTACTGTGCTCTCTTTGTCTTCGCAGCGAAGAGAAACTATACAACACACTCGGTTGCTGTCCTTGCCACCAGGTGTAACGTGCATAGTGATTGAGTCGCTGGTAGCACAGATATCGTCTAGCCATTCATTCGTTTCAAATTCCAAGTCGCTCATACGCGTCAATCGGATGACATACTCCGCCCTAGCTGATGAACGTACTCGAATCGCAAGCACATCATCGGGGAAACTAGCCAAGGTTTCTCTTTCATAGAAAGCACCCTGGTATTCATATCTGACATGCGAGATGGCGTTTTCTAAATCCAGTGACCGACGATAATTTGTAACCTGCTCAAAGTCGTGACCAAAGTCCAAGAAAATATTTCCGAGCGGTTCGTAGTTTCGCTGGCTGATCGGGTTGGCAAAGAATGCCAGCTTGGCTATCTTTTCGGCCTCGGCATGATTTCCCGCGCGAATAGCCTCTCTCAGACGTGGGAGATACTCCAACGCATCAAGCGGGTTACGATCTTGAGGGCCTCCGTACCATACCGAATCTTCGTTGAGTTGCAACATTTCGGTGTCGGTCCGTCCATACACCATGGCGCCTAAGCGCCCATTTCCGACTGGTAGCGCGGAGTTCCAATCGCTTGCAGGCTGTTGGTACCATAATTCGGACATATTGGGATAAGGTTGGAAGAATCCGATCTTCAAGACTGTATTTGTGGTTTGGGGTCTGAGGCACGGCACGTCGGTCCGTCAGCCGGGAATGTTGGGTTCTCAGTTGTTGACAGCTGGATATATCGAGGGATAGTGCATTGGAAGTTTATTCAACAGATGATCGATCTCATTTGGGATGGAAAACACACATGCTAAATGCAGCTTTAAGTTCCAGCCCTAATCGCTTCCCCGGATTCCGGTTAAATGCCCCAAGACATTCCATTCCATACGCACTTTGACCCGGACATCAAGACTAGCGTTGGCGACTGAGTTAGTTTGCCATCTTATCCCAGTCAACTCGAGGCTGCTTGCCCCGCACTTGCAATCTAGTGGTGGGAAATCTCGTCGGATGCAGATGGCATCCAATAAAAAAGCAAATCTGCAAGGATGATCGTTCGATTGTACAACGTGACTGACGCCAAATCTGCCTCTTTACCCCTTTTGACCAATAGTCGCCAGACCTAGTGGTTATACCACGCCCCTCCAGATGAATTTGGTGGCTAATTTGTCGTCTTGACTCCTGGTCCATTACAATGCTCCGTGGCGGAATAGGCCACTGGGCAACAATCTAGATGCCGGTAGTACATCTTGTCTCCTAGCTCGCTAAGACCGCCAAAGCTGAAATACCCCGGCATAGCCCTCTTGGCTTGACTGCATCGCGGATCCTCGATCCATATATTGGGCCTTCCTACATACGCAGCTTGTTTCCTCTTTGATACCTCCGCCGAAACGATGGTCAAATCGGAGGCTGCAGTTGCCATAGAGGCAGAGTTTAGCAAAGGAGACACCCAGGAGCATGTTGAGGAGGTAGCACTGGCACGCGTGACAGAGGAGGACCTGTGGAAATTGTCCCAGGAGTCGTTGAACGTATGGTCATGGACCGGATTCCGTCTGGGTCTCATCATGTTCATCCACGGCTGCAACCAAGCTGGCTTTGGAATTGACTGGGGGGTTATCGGCGGTATCAATTCCTTGGATCCGTGGCATGAATATTTCGGCTTTGGTACCGCGGGTGGCACGTATGGCCTAGTCAATGCCCTGATGCAGATTGGCACTGTCTGCGGTGCACCATTCATGGCTTTGGCCGATGTAATCGGCCGTCGTGGGATCAACTTTGCCGGCAATGCTATTGTGATTTTTGCGGCTTTGCTGCAGGGCTTGGCCATTAATCTGCCAATGTTTATGGCTGGACGATTCTTCATGGGTTTCGGAACAGCGCTCATGTCGAGCTCGCAATACATTGGTGAAATATCGCCTGTTCACCTGCGTGGTCGCATGGTCGGCTTCTTCGGGGCATGTTTCCAAGTCGGTAGTTTGACCATGCTCGGTGCCATGATTGGACTTTCTACTCTGCCGGGCAATCTTTGCTGGCGCATCCCTCTCATCCTCGAGGCTCTCTTCCCGGCCATTGTCTGCCTGGGCATTTACCTCATCACCCCCGAGTCGCCTCGTTACTATGTCATGAGGGGCAATCGACAAAAGGCCAAGGAGATTATAGCCAAATACCACACCACCAGCACGGATGTCAATGAGCCGATTGTCGATATTGTTGTTAGACAGATTGAGGAGTCCCTGGAGAGCGATCGCGATCGGTCGGGCACCAGGGCCTTCTGGGACTATCGGGTCTTCTTCACCAAGACCGCGCGATACCGTCTCCTGGTTCTGGTCTTGTATTCAATCTTCCAGCAATGGAACGGAGGCAGTATTATCACATACTATGTAAGTAATCTGGCCTGCAGGCTGAATCATTTGCTAACATTAGGTAGATGACCCCTTCGTTGCAGCAGCTTGGCATCGATGGCACAAAGCAGCAACTCGGCATTACCATTGGAACTACAGCAGTTTACTTTGTCTTTACGGCCGTCGGATCGTTCCTCGTTGACAAGTTCCGCAGGCGAACCCTGATATTTGTTGGTCTGATCAGTATGATTGTCTTCCAGACGGCCACCACGATCACATCGTGGCAGTATAGTCTCAACGCCAACACCGCTGTTGCGGCACTCACTCTTCTCTGGATCTTCCTTTACCAGACTTTCTCTGCGACGTTTGTTGCGACCATGCACAACCTGTACCCAATTGAAATTCTCTCTCTGCCACTTCGTGCAAAAGGAATGGGTCTATACAGTCTGATACAAGGCGGTGCTGGAGCCGCGCAGACGTACGGAATCGGAGTCGGCATCGCAAAAGTAGGATACAAGATTTGGGTGGTGTATATCGTTTACAACACCATTCAACTTGTTTTGTCGTATTTCATCTTCCCAGAAACTGCCGGTCTGTCTCTGGAGGAGATTGATACGGTATTTGAAACCCCTGGTGTTGCGCCAGTCAAGATGTCGTTGGACATCCAACAGGCCAAGAAGGAGAGAAGCGCCGCGGGACGGGACGAGGAGACCAGGTTTGGATAATGAGTTTCTGTAGCGAGAAACAATTAGTCAATATCCAACAAAGTGCAATCAAACCATTTGATGTATCTTTCCTGTCTCTGTTTCAGTCAAGCTCTCAGTATTTCCAGGTCATATTGGGGCTAGTCTGTCAGCTTCATGTCTACTCATTAAATGGCCCCGTAAATGTAGACTCTAGCTTCAAGCTGATTCAAAAATACACACAGATCTGACAACACAATTACACAAATAAAACCGATGAAACGCGTCGGACCCGACATCACCCTGTGCCTACCCATCGGAGGGGTGCTTGTTCTGTTACACAGTATCCGTCTTCTGTCTTCTCAAACGTACATGAGACAACAAGAATACGAGATTCCGCAAGTCTATCCCATTGAAGTCACAGAAGGGAACGTGGTAGGGGTGAAATCGTATATGGAAAGCCTCAATGGCAGGCATCAGATGATCTCACGAGCCCTAAATATCCGGACCCATCTTGGTTGGACCCATTTCACTTCCCGACAACTCTGTCTGATGGAACTCTTTTTTCTCCGAGAATCATTGCCACCAGTCCAGAATCCAATCATATCTTAAAGTTCCCCTACATCTTGGCCTGTAGCGTTGCACAAACAAATCAGGTGCTGAGTTAGACCTTTGAACTCCGGTCCCGAAGCTCTTTTTAGCTTTTCGTTTCCAGCAACGTACTATCCTGGGATTATTTCAGACCCCAGTATTTTATCATGTGCTTTGGCCAGAAGAATAAATCGGTCAAGGGGCTTCTCGCGTGTAGCTTCACAGACTGTGTGGTGTGGTGCTCTGCAGCCCTAATATGGCCATCCTTGAAAACATTGGCTGGTGACGCAGCCAGAAGAAGTAATCAAAAAGAGAGGCTAAATAAAATGATTCACTGATACAATCTAGCTGGCGTGTCTTTTTCAGGTACTGAAGACCTGTGCACGTATGTCTCTACTTAGGCAAACTCGTCTAATGAGTTACGGTCTGGCCCAGACGCAGCATGAATGTATATGACGTTGGGATTGCGAACAGATCAGTGGTCCAGTGCTTCAACGGGGGTGTGTAATCATTGTGTGCAAGTGTCAGAGCTTCAAAGTGAAGGACAATGGCACACATCAAGATCTTTGCAGGAACATGGAGAATAAACAGCGAGTAAGGTGGAAATGACGGACTGGCTACATCAACTCTATTTTCGTGTAACGCGGTTGCTTGCCTACGTACGTATGTCTAATCAACAAGACCTCGTGGCAAGACTGAAGAGGGCAATGAAAGAGGGCCAGCATCAATAAACTTCCGATTAGTGCTGCGTCCCAGAGATATCCATTTTGCTGCCGAACAGATCTAATTCAACTTGTTTGTAGCTATCTCAAGCACCATCTGTGCTCCACTGCATATCATGGCTTTCCGGTACAGACCCTGATACACAGACATGTATGAACCGCCATACGGGCCGAGACGGGACTGCTGCACCTCTCGGTCGATGCTTCGCCTTTCCAGCGAAACTCCTTCCGTCATGCACGCCCGGTTGCGTGGTCTGGCGATTAGAAGGTTGGTGTCACCATGAACTTTCCAATGAGGACACTAGGTGAGCTGGCAATCATATCGATTGGCTCGGTGGCTTCCATCACGAGACAAAAGGCAGTGTTTCCAGGAGGCAAACGGGCCATCACCGCTCAACACGGCATGTACAGGGTCCTTCTCGAGTACGGCTCTCAGAGGCACAAATGAGGAAATTTTGGGGGAGCTGTTGGGTTTGTTGAAATTCTTCTTAATGTATGAATGTGCATGTGTCTTTCAATCTCCTTCTATTTCTGGGTTGGCTTGACGGTGGCTATGCCCCGTCTGCAGCTTTGAGGTGAGTGTGATACCGGGATGTCTGGTATTGGAATATTGGAGGGGCGATGTTTCCTTCGAGGGATAATGACGGTGAATATGACCTTGGGTATAATTGACAGTTCCTCGCTCTTGTTTTCTGTCCTCATAGCCCTGTCAGTCTTTAATCTGCTCTTGGCTTCATTTTTTCATTCCTATGTTTGCATGAGGAAGGATATTACTGATCCACCTGCTTTACCATTGCCGGTCGGATATACAGGCTTCATTTCTTGAAAATAATACTACGTTATCTACCGTCGTTGCTTTTCACAACACACTCCACTGCTATACCGACTCTAGCACATTCCTTTCAAACCGTGTTTGCCTCCAAAATGCCCCCGAAATGCGCACAAGACAACATGGTGCCCGAGGCTCAAGGACTGAAATACAGCAAATTCGAGATGGCGCTTTTCTTGACACAACTGGCATGGCGATCCACGTATGACGAGCGCATGGCCTCGCAGGACTCAAACCTGACCTCGGTCACCGAAGCCCAAGGCCAAATTCTCAAGCGATGGAAAGCTTTGATGGACAGCGAAAAAGAACTGGCTGGCAAAGAGGAGAACTTCTCTCCTAGTGTCAAGAGAGAAATGGCGGTTTATGAGTGGAGATACAAAAGGCTGGAGGCCACAATGGATGCACCTCAGAAAGGGTGATGCAAAAGTGGTTTTTCTCTCTTTACTTCTACTTTTGTTTACTGTCGATCTGAGCGACATGAAATGGAGGCATTGCTGGCGTTGGTTTAGACTTTGCAGTGTATTTTGGACTGCTTTGGCAAATATTATGTCCTTTTGACTTTCCGTTTAGCATTTTGTGCATTTTTAAACCTTCAGTAGCAGAACTTTTTCTTTCTGGGGGTAAAATTACTTGCTCGGTCTCGATCCAAAATATCCAAGTCAATGTCACACGGCCGGTCGATATTGCAAGAGTAATGAAAGTCGCACCTCGTGTGTACTCGGATGAGGCAATTGGAGTATTCCAGCGCAAGATGGTAAGAGCAACGGACGAGCTCAGGAGTGGCATCATTTGTATAACGCTGTGGCATGTCGGGTCAAACTGTGAAACGTGCTGATCAATTCAAGACCAATTGAAAGCTGTGCTCGACCCTCGGATTCCGATGAGCTCCGGGGTTTCATGCAGGTTGGGTCAGAGTTTGACTGGGGCCCTTTAAAAACTCCTTTTAATTCCTCGTGTAGTGGAATTTCCCGTATGGTTCAATAAGATGCTGCCATTCGAAGAATGGCTGGAGACCTCGCATGTAATTTGCATGGGTCAATGGACCAATGCTGCAATCAACGCTCATATGCTTTGTCCTGTTGAAGCGGGATTTCAAAACTATGGCCAACCATTCGAGGGAAAGGGATACGGTTAGCAACGCGTCTGGGGAGAAGAGCGTTTCTCAACCCGTGAGTCTTCTCTCTCATATAACAGCTGAATTTGTCCGTTTTGAAAATGTAGCGGGTCCCCACCATCGATATTGACCAAGTGTTCGCGCGCACTGCCAAGCTAACCTCGCTCAACAGCAAGGTCCTAGCCTGCTTAAATGACTACTTCAGTTCAGCTAATAAGTTTCTAACCCCAACTCCGCTATCTCGCGCCAGCATATGGTCATTGACGCCCATGCTTAGTACAATAGCTCGGAGACACGCCGCCATAAACCGGAGCCACATGACTGGACTGCGATCAAGTCAGGCCAAGCCGCCAGATCCAAATCACGGCGTGGGAGTTAATATCGCAAAGTTCAGGTGCAGGTATGCCGACAAGGGAGAAAATAGGCGGCTGCTGATCACGTCAACAGCGCTAGCTGATTTGACATGTAAGGGTAGAAAGTGATGTAGACACCAAGCACGTCTTAGAACCTGATAGAAGAACCATGTTCATAGCTCATGATGAGAATGCAAATAATGTATTACCAAGTCATTCTGGTTAGATCATAGCTTAAGTCTAGCATTTGTCCGTGATTAATGGTCAAGAACCCATGTCATTCATTGACTGACCTTTCAACATAGTTTCGCATATATCAACAAAGAAGTCGCAGCTGGAAGATTGGATCAAAAAGCCCTATAGACAACTGAATCCAAGAAAAGATACACACTCCAATCATGACTATCAACGGAAGAGAAGAATGTAATAAAAAAACGATAAAGCAGATTCATGATTCTAATGACAAAAGTCCAAAAGCACAAAACCAAATGGGAATGACAATCACAAGAATGAACAAAATGATCGACCTCAATGACGCCTGATTTCTATCTCTCCAACTCGGGGTATAAATAATAATGCGTAGACTCATTTCCTTGGCAGCGACTTCATCGGGAAAGATCTCGGCTCGTCAGATGCAGAAGAGGAGTAGCTGGTAGGGGTGCTAGCACCAGCATCCATGCTGGCTCGAGATCGCTTTTCTCGAATGGCGAGGCGGGATTTGGGGTAAGATGGCACGGGGGCGAGGTATCTGTCCAGGAGTTCACTCAAGATGGGCGAGCGCACTGGTTTCGGAAGGTAGTTGTTCATGCCAGCCTCGAGACACTTCTCGCGATCGCCTTCGATGGCACTCGCGGTCATGGCGATGACTAGTACCTCGTTCACGTTTGGATCGGGATCACGGCGCAACTCGCGGGTGGCGTTGTACCCGTCAAGAGTGGGCATCATCACATCCATCAAGACTACGTGGAATGGATTGCCTTCTTTGGATTTCGCGCGTAAAGCGTCGACGGCTTGTTTGCCGTCGCTGTATGCCTCGCACTGGAGGCCAAGACTGGTGACGAATTTGACGGCGATCTTTTGGTTGATCGGGTTGTCTTCGGCGATGCACACACGAATCTGGTCACGGGGGATTTGGGTAAGGTCGCGGGCTGATGACTTGGGTGATACCTTGCTTTCTGTTTGACTTAGATCCTGGGACCATGCGGTCTTGACAGCTGTTTTCTTGGGTGCTTTGTTGAAGACCAGGTGGAAGGTCACTGTAGTTCCCACGCCGGAAGTGGATTCAAGCCAGATAGCTCCACCGAGAACGTCTTCGATGATGGCCTTGCAAATAGACAATCCCAATCCACTGCCACCATACGATCTCTCCGTGGACGCATCAGCCTGCGAGAATGGTCGGAAAAGCCGCACCTTTTGTTCATCTGGAATACCAATACCGGTATCGGCGACTGAGCATTCAAGACGAACACGACCTTTGCCCTCACGGGCAACCCTCGCTTTGACAGTAACCGACCCATTGGGGGTGAATTTGTAACTGTTGCTAAGGAGATTCATGAAAATCTGATGCAAGCGAACAGGGTCGCCTAGAACCACAAGGTCTGGCGGAACTTTGTCGAGATTTTCGATTGTTTCTAGGCCACGGTCACGATGTGTGTATCGCAGAGCCCGAATGACCTCTGAGATGGTTTCCTTCAAATTGAGCGGGACGGTAGAGATCTTCATCTTTCCAGCTTCCAGCTTGGAGAAGTCTAGGATGTCGTTGATGAGAGTGAGCAAAGTATCAGCGCACACGCGAATCGATTCGACGTATTCGTCTTGCTCTTTGTCCAAATAGGTACCCTTCAGAAGTTCCGATAGACCAATCACACCGTTCATGGGCGTGCGCAGATCATGTGAGATATTGGCGAGGAAGATTGATTTGGCTCTGGCAGCGTCTTCCTTGAGTTTGACGTTGTGCTTGGCTTCAGCCTCGGCAATCTTCGCTTTTTGCTCTGCCTCGCGTGCGAGTGCGAGTGCACGCTTTTGGGACTCAATCATGGAAGCATTCTTGGCACTGACCTTGCGAATCTCACGGAAGAGCAACGCGTTCGACAAGGAAATACCCATTTGATTGCAAAGCAAGTGCAAGACGACGACGTTCCGCTGAGTAAACCAGTTTGGTTTTCCCTCCAAGTGAATGACACCGAGTAGATGGTCTCCCTGAACAACTGGTAATGCAATGACGGAGCGACCCGCGGGGAAATTTGCCAAGTAAGAGTCGCTCACATTGGAAAACCGCTCGTCTTCGAGCACGTTATGAACAAGGACTTCTTCCTTTGTACGCATGACATACTGTGAGATCTGCAAAGCCATTCTATCATCCATTTCCGGGAAAGGAAGACCCTCTGGGTATGACTTTTGACCTTTTTCAGCGTCACCGGCAGCAGCAATGGCGAAACCGTGCTCATCGAATTCGGTGGCAATGATTGCGAAATCAGAGCCGTTGCATGATTCGAGAATAATCTCAAGCATTTTCGTAAAGAGCTTGTCGATTTGAAGTTCAGACGACATGACTTGGCTGGACTCGAGAATGCTGGACAGATCAATGATATCCAGTCCGACGCTTGATATATCGAGGGATTGATTTTCGGCGCTACTTTGTTCAATCCAGTGCTGTCTCCTCTCTTCCTCTTCCATCTGCTGGGGGAGAAGTATCTCTTCATGTACAACTTCACGGCTGATCTCAAGGAGCGAGTCGACAGTCTGACAGCCAACATCGACGGTCTTTGCTGACGTAGCTGTCTTGAGCAACCATTCGTGCTTTTCGGCGAGTTGCGTTGCCTTGCCACCAGCGCTGATAGAACTCCACGCAGCGATGGCTTCTTGGATTACAGCGCGAGCAGCCCGCTTTGCGCCACGCCTAACCAAGAATTCACCCTGTAACTCGAGTGCCAAGGCTTCTTCAAAGGGCCACCCATGGATTTGGCAGTGGTCAATCGCAGCCTCGTAGTTCTGGATGGTAGCACTGTGATCATTGCGAACCTCAGAAAGTAAGGCCTCTAGGATCATGGACCACATGCCATAATTTGCTTCTGAGGCGCTTCGGGCAAAGTCAATCTCGGCTTTGTATTCCAGAAGTGTATCCATTTTTCCATCGAGATATCCCTGGGCGGGATAGTCATTGTGAAGCGTGAGAAGTGACGCGGCTAGATAGAAATTGATCACGTAGGCTACACGAGTAGACCAGAGCCTGTGTCTTGTTATCAATAATTGCGTGCCCACTTCAACTGCTCTGGTATGATGGCCAAAGATGAACAATGGGATCATGGCAAGGCCCCAGTATATGTCACGAGGTCTGTCGGCGTTGCTCGAGCTAACATCCAAATGGGTCATATATTCATTTGTACTGTGGTTGGCATCGGACATGATGCCTTCGGCAAACCGGAACTCGGTCTTGCCTTGAAGGGCGCGTGCAACTTGTTGGACTGCAAGAAGACTAGCTCCGCCACGCGTGTCTTGCTGCCACATGGGAATTTCCTCCGGAGTCTCCGTGCAGAAGGCTTCCAGCTGAGCCATGTCTTGGCCCAGGTATAGACGAGCCATAGCCATTGATGAAATGCTGATTAATGTCAGGTAAGGGTCGCCCATTGTGAATGAGGCTTCGAGTGATGCTTCGAGGGCTGGTAGAGTCGATGCCATGGGAACACGCAGATGACTGACGTAGAGATTATGAACTATCGAGCCTCGACTTTGGGTCCACAATTCAGGGCAGCGCTCAAGGAGTTCTAGAGACCAGTCGCTCAGCTTTTTGCCAAATTCAAGATCCTTGAAGCGACTCATGGAGATCATCGCAAGGTGGGAACATCCGATTGCGATTTGGGTGAAACCACCCTTGAACATGTGAATATTCATCACTTCAAGTGCCATGCGATAGAAGGTCAACGCATCATCCCAGTAAGTGACAGTCATCGCC